GTGTGGGTGTGGGTGCGTCGTGTGCATTGGGAAGCACGGAATCCCAAGAGATCTCCCACTTCTACATTGGAGGGGACGAACGCAGTGCAGGCGGCGCAGGGAGCAAAGAAGAAGTGTCAGTGACTGTGACGAACGTCCTGCTGTACAACCGCCCGTTGAGTACTGCGGAGATGACTGCGCTTAAAATGAAAAGCGTTAATATTCCAAAGCTGTATCATGCAAAAACAGAGCCGAGGGGTACTCCGTCTACTCCTGCCGGGCAACAGCCGTCGGAATGGGGGCATTTGGTGGGAAGCAGTAAAGATGCGAGTGGTGGTGTGGAGGGGGCCGATTCACAGATCAGGGAAGTAAATGCCACGGCACTCAGCAGCAACCTCGGAAATGTGTCGCAAGAAAATAACAGCGATGCCGGCACCATGCGTGGGAGCGGACTGCTGCCATCGCTGCTGCTTCTGTTGGGACTGTGGGGGTCTGCGGCTCTCTGAGGAGTGACTGGCTGTTGCGTGGGACACTTGCGACCTCCCCTGCACACAATTACTTCCAAGAACTAAATTATCCTTAAAATAATTCTCTTTTTTTGCTTTTTGTTTGTAATTCATCATTTTTTTCATTTTTTTTTTTTTTTTTTTTTTTTGCGTGTTGCGCGTGTGTGTCCTTTTTTTAATTTTTTTTTTGGTTTTCTGTTTTTTTTTTTTTTTTTTTAGTCTCTCACTCCCCCTTTCTTTTTTGCTTTTGGGGCAATCACTGTGGACGTTTTTTCTTTTTTACTCTTCCCTCTTTCAATTGTTTGTTGCTGCACTCTTCCTGTGAGGGGTGCCGTGTGTTTCCCGCCCAACTGCTCCACTCGCACACCCACCGACACGCTTATGACGACGGCCCTGTGCGCCTCGCCTGCTGCACGCATGAGGAGGGGCCGCGACGAACGGCGCGCTGAGGGAGCCGTGACGTGTGGGCGTGCGACGAGGGCCTGTGGGGCGGAGCACACATTTCTTTCCCTCTTGTTTTTTTTTTATTGCGGCCAGGGCGGGCAGACACCCGCAGCGCCACACACACAGCCACACCCTGCCGCCGTGTTTTTATTTAAGGATTTGTTTTGCTTTGCGTGTTTATTTCGTGCGGTGGCGCACCCTTCGGTGTCGGCCTCGTGAGCATTTCTCTCCTTCCCCTCGATGATTTCTTTTTTTCTTTTGCTGCGCTCACTCTCCCGATGGAGTGACGCGACTCCCGTCATGTCTGCGTGCTTCTCCCAGTCCCCACACACACGAGTGACTGCGCTCTGCGGGCCGCACTCACGCGCCGATGAAAGGGCTGAGGGGAGCAGCAACACGCAGATGACCCCATGAAATATAAACGATGTGCGGACACATGGAGGGTCAGACGGTTGAAAGACATTTAAATACCTTTTTAATTTTTATTTTGTGGGCAAAATATGCAGACAATTTGGTGTGGCCACACGACTGCCAGGCGACCTTTTTAAATTTGTGTGGAGCAGTAATGGACGATTTCTTTTTCATTTATAATTATTTTGTGTGATGGGGTTTACATAAGAGGAAGGGGAACGATTTTTTGTTTTCAATGAATATTGTGTGAATTGCCACTGCTTGGGCTGCAGTGCAGTCATGAGTTTGAGCGGTCTTCTTGTTGTTTCCGTTATGCGTCTTCGCCGTACATTTTTGTGCGTCTCTCCGCATACTCTGCTCCCTCTTTTCCACGTCTTTGCTTCGTGTTTCTGCAGGCACACACAACCACACACACACAAGATGCACATTGCAGTGGATTTGAATGCTCCTTTTGTAGTGCATGCTGGCAGTTGCGTGTGGCGGCTGTTGTCTTCCTCCGTGGCCATGAGGAGGAGGGAGAGAGGGAGCGCGCACCCCGAGTCCATTTTCCTGTGGGTGTGATGCACCGCGTGTGACTGCGCTGAGTTGGGCTCCGTGTCCCATTGAGGGCGGGATGGCAGGAAGTTTTTGTGCCGCGTCATGGATGGATGAGGGTTCGCTTGCTCCGTGTGCGTTGTGTGGTGGCCGCGGGGTTTTGGCCATTTCTCTGGGGCTGCGGGAATGAGCTGGGGGAGATGGTGGTGGATGTCTTCTCCTCCTGCATGGTGGGTGGCTGCTGGCGTTGTGTGCCTTCCTTGCGTGGACGCCGTCTCGTGGTGTGTGAACTGTGCGGCTGGGCCTGCTGCCCTCTCCTCATGTTGTCTGCGCTCTCTCGCTGTATCCGCTGTGCTCCGTCCCTCTCCCTCTCGTTCCATTATTTTCCTTTCCGTCTCACCGATCGGCTGACTGACACCAGCGACTCCAATACGGGCGATGATGACGACGGTGACAGTGCGGCTCCGTGTGGTGTGCGCCGTGCAGTTCCTTGCGCTCTCGTGCTGCTGCTGCTCATCATTGTGCGTGACAGCAGGTGAAGAAGGTGTTGCAAGCCCCAGTCCACTTCTTCCTTTGCCAAGGAAACAAACTGAGGGTGGCCCAAAGAATGCAGGCAAAAATAAAGCTGACGATAATGAAGACTCCAGTCTATCGTCTTTTGTTTCCTGAGTGAATAGGCGCGACACTTACGCATGACTGATCCACTGAGTCCGGCACGCGAGACGGAACACGTTTGGAGGATGAAACGGAACAGTCACTAAGTGATTCCATTACGGTGCACGAAGAAACCGTTTCCAGGAAGGAACAGCAAACAAGTGGACACGGTTTACCGCCCTCTCCACCAAGGGAAGTAAGTACGAATCATGATACGACAAAAGCAACAGGTCCATTAGGCATGCCAGGAGGAACAACTCTCCCGGTTGCTGCGCCAGCACCAAGTAAGAACTCCCCTGCGTTGAAGGGAAAAGATACTGCAAGTACGGGAAAGACACCACGTAATTCCGACACAAAAATGGAACCAATTATGAAGCTGCTGCGCCAGAGAACTCAATTGAGGAACAGACATCAAATACGATGCCTACCACGATGAGGGCCGCTACGACAGAGGCGTCAACCACGAAGACCACCTGCGCACCGTCACGTCTTCGCGAAATTGACGGCAGCCTCAGCAGCTCTGCGTGGGTGTGTGCCCCGCTGCTGCTCGCCGTATCCGCGCTGGCGTACACCACTGTGGGCTAAAAGGGAGCGTGGGCTATGCGTGCCAGCACTCAGCCACGGGGACATGTATACGTCTACTGTGGTCCTATGCAAATAAGTAAGAGTAATTATAATGATTGTGTTTTGCTTTGTTTTCTTCCCCTACCCTCATGTGTGCTCCGCGTTGTCCGTCACTTCCGTTTCGTTGAAGGCATCCCACACTCGTATGCATTCGCAGCGGAGCCGTACGTGGACACACATTTGAGGATAGGTGCATGCGCACTGGAGTCTTGGGTTTATTATCCTATTTTAAATTTTTTGCTTGGTTCTTAAACTTTTGGTCTGCAGGATATTATGTGAGTTTTGCAATCGTGCTGATTCTATCTGTCTTTTGTGGTTTGTTCCCTGCTTCTGCTGCTGCCATTTGTTACTGTGCGGTGGCTGTGCGTGGTGTAGCGGGCGTGTCTCTCCATTTGTTTTCACATGCTCTTGCAGGTTGGCTTCAAGGCGTTAAGTGTCTACGCTGTTTGTGATGATGTCGTGCCGTTTGCTCTGCGTCCTGTTGGTGCCTTCACTGATGTGCTGTTTCTTGTGCGTGTGTGCGACAGTTGCTGCGACGGAGGTGCGTGTGCTGCCTGCCGGTGTTTTTTACTGTTTTTTTTCTCTCTCCTTGTATTTATTCTTGCTTTGCGTTGACGTGTTGTTAGTTTGTGCTGAAGGCTGCACGCAAGTGACAGGAGTGATGGCGATGATGATGACTGGCCGTGTGCTGCTGGTGTGTGCCCTCTGCGTGCTGTGGTGCGGTGTCGGCGGAGGTTGTGAAGAAGTGCCCGGAGTATCTCCCTCTGGTGTGTCCGGTGATCTTGAGAGGGAGGGAGGAGATTCACAGGATTCATCACGTTCTGAACCGCCAGGAACAAAAAAATCAGCCCCAGAAACACCAGCACCAAAAGTTCAACAACAAGAAGTTATCTCACCACCTCCCAATGACCCTCCGGCAGGAAGCGAAGACGGTGCTGGTGGTGATGAGGAAGGAAAAGCAAGAGAAGAAGGTGCTAAGGATGCTGGAAAAGAAAATAGGGGTGTTGCAACAAGTAAAGAGGTAAAAAACCCTGAAAACCACCAGATGTCAGTGAAGGACCCGCAGTTGCGTAACAATGAGGGCTTACAGTCACCATCATTGAATGGAACTCATGGAGTTGGAACGATAACAACATCATTAAGTGGCAGTTTGACAGTTAATACAAATCAACAAGATTTGTCAAGCCCTTTGCAGCCTCCATTACCGAACAGCCCACCGCATGCAATTCCATCATCCACATCTGCAGCTGGCCCTGATAACGAGAAACGTCACGAAAACGGCAATGGCACGAAGAATTCTCAACAGTCTGTGGTAGGAGACATTCAAGAGAAGAATGGCACCGGCGTGAAAGCTGTCGCTTCAACAAGTGGAGAGGAAAATTCACGATTGTCAGTCACGACACTTGAAGAAATGGGTGATGCAACAAAGAAAGGCGACAGCAACAGCAGTACCGCGGCAACCGTGGCCCTGCGGTCTGACGCTGGCACAGAAGGCACTCCGCCCACCAATCATCCGAACCAACCATCCACTGAAGGCGCCACACAACCCGAAACGAATTCCGATGGTGAAGCTGTATCAGCCAACAAATATGATACGGTCTCTCAGAGTGCAGGATCCACAACAGCGCAAACCACAAACGCGAAAACAGGTGACACGGCGAAGCCTGTCGACAGTGACGGCGGCACCGCGGTCTCGCACACCACCTCCCCTCTTTTGCTTCTTCTTGTTGCGTGTGCGGCTGCTGCTGCGGTGGTGGCCGCGTGAGAGTGAGGGAGAGAGAGCCATGCACCGCCCACACACACACTCGTCCTTCTCTCACTCTCTGTGTGTGTCCCCTTGCATGGACTCTCGCCCTCACCTCATCCCACGAAGCACACACATAATGTGCCCATTGTATATATTGCATGCACACCCATGCAGGCCCGTTGGTGCTCTCTTTTGCACGACACGCACCGCTGCCGTCCTGCCTGGCTGCATGGGCGGAGCACCGTAACTGTTTTTTTTATTGCATTGAGTGGGCGACCTCTCTCTCTCCCTGTGTGTGTGATTTGCTTTACGGGAGCAATGAGAGTGTGTGCGCTGGTCGTCCCACGCTTCGGCTTTTTGTTTTGTTTTATTGTTTTACTTGTTTTGTGGTTGGGTGCACCCATTACCCTTGTTTTTGAATTGGTGGTCTGAGTTGACTGCGGACGCCTAAATTCTTTTTTTGTATTTTTTTTTCTTTTGAGATATTGTGAGTGTTTCCTATTCTTTTCAAGCCATGAAGTATTTTCTTTTACGTAAAGCATGTGTCCGTTGGTCCACATCACCCCGCTGTCTGCATCGCTGCTGGTGCTTCTGTTTGTGATGATGTTTTTGATGTTGTTCTGGCAGGTGCTTTGCTGCCAGCCTGACGTACTCCTGCTTCTCGGACAAAGCGATGCGTGCCCACAGGGCGAAGTCGATCCCGGCTGTGGTGAGGGACGTGCCTTTTGGATCTGAGGGTGCGTCGCAGACATGCACCGTCATTGGGAGGAATTGACGGGCGCCCACCCGCATCAATGTGTCGACAAGGGACATGGATGATACCAGGAAGTATTGCAGCTCAGAGCGGTATTACGCAATGAATTCATTGGGGCAATTGAGAGTGTGAAGGTGACGTTTTTCTATGCTGAGAAAAGGGAGGTATTTGTTTCGTTATACTTTGCGGCCACTGTTCTTTAATGGCCTGCGGGCTGTCCGTGGCGATGTGGCCAGTTTTTCCTTTTTTCTGAACGATGCTGTCGTGCGAGAGGTGGTGTTCCCAATAGTCGGATGCTGAGTTGTCGAGGACGGCGGCATTCCCACAGCGTGTGCGGCAGGGCCTCCCGTGGATTGTCGGGGGCTCAGCGGCTGGTGGGGGTTGCAGCAGAGGAGTGACTGAAGGGCTACAGCTGTCATTGGAGCTTGCAGAGGTGCGTTGTCCGTTTTTTGCTCGTTGATACGCTTGACATTTTCGGTAGTGACCTGCGCGTGAAGCACCTGTTGGGAAGACCGTGGAGCTGTCGCAGAATCCACATGTGAGGCCTTCTGCAACGATTGGAGTGCTAGGGATAGTGCGTCGGGCGTGTACCTTCATATTGTGGACGGACGAGAAGACGCTGCTGCAGCTTGGGCAGGGCGAAGTTGATCTGCTGCTTGTCATTCTACGAGGAGGTGCCGTCGACACGCCAGGTGGAGGCTCCGGAGGAGGTCGGGGTGGTCCTGCCTCTTCAGTGTGGGAGGAGCAGCACCACCGAAATAAGGGTTGCTTGTAATCTGCAGGGCGCGTGCCGGTCAGCCGAGGAGTGGGCAGGAGGACGTCAATCAGCCGCTTGTTGGTCGGCAAGGAGTGGCGGTGCTCACGTCGGGAAGAGGTTCCAACGGAGGCAGAGCACAGACGCGGTCCCAACAGCACCGCAGCACAGCCGATCCCAGAGGGCAGGGACGTGGCGCCACCATGCCTCGGGGTATCACAGGCCTTGGATCAAGAGGGCACCAAGCTGTTTCGCACGGACCACTGACAGCATGGAGAAGCCACGGTGGAGGGCATGATTGCGGTCCTTCCGTTTGCGGAGCATTTCAGCTCGGGGCAGGCTGCCGCTGCAACACACTCGGTCTGCTACATTCCGTCCGTCCAGATTCCTGTGGGACTGTCACGGCTGCCGCTCGTACGGTGCCTCGGTGCATCTCCAACCATGTGGTCACAGTGGCCAGAGGTGTTCCACACGCCGAGGTGGAAGCATCACAGTCAGCTTCACGCAGGACAACGGCGATATTTTTCCGTCGTGGCAGCATGCCTGCCTGTCGCGGGATGCCGTCCTTCGTCCCTGCAGTGTGGCATGGCAGATGGTGGTCCGAGTCCATGTAAACGGGTGGACGTACAGTGGGAGACACGCAGCACGCGTTGCGCATTCACATTGGGAAACGAGACGCTGCGGCCGCTGATCCGCGTTGCCTGCGCCGGGTCGTCGGATAGCTCAATCTCCATGCCGCTTGGGGTGGCGGCGAGGTCCTCTACTGCCGTCGTTGATGGTGAGCAACCGTCCCGCAGCTCATGGTGTAGATTCAGGTCGCAAATAACCGCTGCGGGGCCTAAGCGACGAATGTTGCTCGCAACGTGAGCAGTTGCCGTGGGGAGGTTGCAGAGGTTCACCACGTACATGCTGGAGCAGGCCTGTAGGCGCACGCGGAAGACGGTTGTCTCCACGCAGTTGGTGCCAGCAGCGATAGGCGCTCGCACGGCAAGGTGTGGCGCACCAAGATGACCACGCCACCGGCACACCCACTGCAGGCCTGGCGGAAGTCACGGCAGCCAATGAGCCTCGTCGCTACGTCACTCTCGTGCCTGCACTCCTGCAGAAGAACGATGCCGGGATGGTGCTGCGCCAGTCGAGCAGCAAGAGCAATCCTGAAGGGCGAAGGCCCTGAAGTTCTGAGCTGCCAGATAACTACGAGGCCATCCTCATCGGGGCTGCGGCTCTTGCGGACACCACCGCAGCGGGTGATGCCGACGGAGTGACAGCAATGAAACGACTGTGCGGTTCTGTCAGTCGGGCTGCAGGCAAACCGGCTCGCCGCTCCACAACCAACAGAGCGTGGAAACTTCTCAAGGAGTGACGCCGTCGTGTCCCCATCACGCTCGCAGCAATGCCCTGCCACAATCACTCCCACAGAGAGACAATAAAGAGTGTGTGGATGAGCGCCGAGAGCACAGCGACTGTCATCGCCAGAGGAGGCCATCGTGGAACCGTCCGTCACGCGTCAGCACACAACGAGCAACGCCCGCAACCGGAAGTGCAAAAACAGAGGTGAGAATGGTCACAAGAGCAGGCAACACCTTCACACACGGCGGGCATCGTGCAGCCGCGTCATCATTTCAGCACGGGACGCAAGCCCACGCCCCGCTGTCGCCAATGGCATTCATGCAGACCACTGTGCAAATACTTATGTGTGTGTGCTGGAGAAACGGAAAAAAAAGGAAGGAACACAGGGAGGCACATCAGGAAGGCAAGAGGCACAGCTGGATGGCAGCGGTACATGCGGTACGGCCCCAACAACCTCAACAATCACACACGGTGGCGACGCACTCACATCCACAAAAAAAAAAAAGAAACGAAAACAAAACAGAAGAAAAACATGGCGGCAGGGTCTGGTTGTGTGTGTGGCGCTGCGGGTGTCTGCCCGCCCTGGCCGCAAGAAAACAAAACAAGAGGGAATAAATGTGTGCTCCGCCCCACAGGCCCTCGTCGCACGCCCACACGTCACGGCTCCCTCAGCGCGCCGTTCGTCGCGGCCCCTCCTCATGCGTGCAGCAGGCGAGGCGCACAGGGCCGTCGTCATGAGCGTGTCGGTAGGTGTGCGAGTGGAGCAGTTGGGCGGGAAACACACGGCACCCATCACAGGAAGAGTGCAGCAAGAAACAATTGAAAGAGGGAAGAGTAAAAAAGAAAAACGTCCATAGTGATTGCCCCAAAAGCAAAAAAAAAAAAAAAAAAAAAGAGGAATGGGGGAGTGAGAGATTAAAGAAAAAAATGAAAAAAGTAAAAAAAGAAGCAAACAGCAAAAAGAAATTAAAATACTCACAAAAAAAAAAGGATTTTATGAAATAAATTTGTTCCTATGGGAATATTATTTTTGTGCTCGGGAGGGCGCAAGTGTCCCACGCGGCAGCCGGTCACTCCTCACAGAGCTGCAAACACCCACAGTCCCAACAGAAGAAGCAACGGCAGCAGTCCGCTCCCACGCACAGTGCCGCCATCACCCGTTGCTTCTTCCAAATCGGCACTCCCACCAGTAAATGTCAACGGACGGTTGTACAATAGGACGTTCGACACGGTCACAGACACATCTTCGTCACCCGCTGTGTTCTCTGCATTGCCTCCATCCCCTCCAATGTAGAAGTGAGAAATCCCTTTCGATTCTGTATTTTCCAATTTACTTTGCACACTCTCACACACACGCTGACCATCGACGTACACGGAGCCCTGGGCGCCGTTCTGTAACACAATGGCCACTTGGTACGTTTTCTCTGCCTCCCAAGTGCTGCTGTGCTCCGCGGTTGTTCCGTCACTGCACAGCGCCCGCCACTTCTTTCCGCTGCCGTACGACAACTCCACAAGTTTGGTTACTCCGTCACTGCCCGCACGCACACCCATCAAAGGGACGCTGCCACTCTTCGGCTCACCGTGGATGGACACCGTCGCCAGAAGAGTGAAGTTGTAGTTTGCAAAGTGGTACAGCTGATTCTCCCCCTGCTTGCCAACGGGCCACTCCGCCCCTGCACCACGTCCTTTAAATGTCACGCCATCGGAAGGCTCTGTCTTTTTTGCAGGACCAGTTACTGTGGCGTTCACCCCGAGGTACTCGTCCCTCCATTTGCCATCAGAGAAGTTGCCGGACAAAAAGCCAACCAGCCCAGCTGTGATCGTATCAGTAGTGCTGCAGGGAGTGCTAGTTGGACGATCCTTCTCAGTATTTGAAGGAGTGCACAGCTTGGAGACACGGTCGTCCACTTCCTTCCAGGTCGCCAGCACATCCTTCACACGCTGCAGCTGCTCAGTCAGAACCACGGAGACCACACCGGATGATTGACTGTACCCATCGTCCTTCTTCTTCTCGTACAGCGCAATCAACTCATCCTTATTATTATTATTAGTTCCACTTTTGTACAGCAGGGAGCTGGCGGCAGCGTCATCATCGGATACCGGCCCAATATCAACAATGTGCGTATTGTCCGTCAGCCAAAGATGGAGTCCACTCTTTCCATTGTCTTTTTTACTGTCCCCCTCGGAATATACCGGCAGAGTGACAAGCATCACATTTCTGTTATCTTCAACACCGCCAATCGTCGCTGTGATGAACCCGCTTCTAACGCCCTTCTCATGTCGCTTTTGGTTGTTGCCCCACACGCGCGAGAGTGTCCCGAGCACCTCCGTCCACGACTCCCCCTTGTCATCGGACTCGTACACCCTGCGGCGGCCATCATCACACGCAGTCATCATCATGAGTTTTCCCTTCTCCCGCTCCACGACGGAGGGATCACTGCAGCCATAGGCAGACATCCCCTTCGACAGCGTCCAATTCTTAGTATCCTTGGAGGAGTATAAGATCAGAGAAACGTTGTTATTCTTTCTTTTCTCTTCTTCACTTTCAGTGCCGTCCTCCTTCACGGCTTCCAACGGGAACACAAGCGTATCGTCATCCATCTTAATACCCGATCCACCGCTTCCAATCAGCCGTGGCCAGGATTCGTAAAGTTCTACAAACGAAGTGCACGGGAGACCGTCAGTATCTTCCCAAACAATTCCTTTGTCCTGTTCTTCACTGACATTCCCCTTTACCAGCAAAAGACCCCATGAATCCGCGCCAGCCCCACCCTGACAAACAGCGACATTTTCCCTGATGTAAGTTCCAACAAGCATGTAAATATCACTTCCCTTCACAACTGTTGTTGGCAGGCTCACATGTACTCTGTGGAAATTTTGGGAGCCAGCGCGATTCGTTGACTGAGAGGGGCATTTGCCTTCTTCGGAAGAACATTTCTCCAGTGCCTTTGTCCTCAAATTACGTCCACCCAACATTTTTGGGTTTTCACCACTCAACTCAAGGAGCTCCGAGGCAATCTCAGTAAAGTAATAGTTTCCTCCAACTTCATTCTTCTTCTTGCACAGCGCCTCGGCAACGGCAAACACTTTACCATTCACCTCAACTAGACTGGGAGCATAGAGCAAACTCACTGTTTCTTCTTCCTTCTTATCTCTCCAAACAAAATGTTTTCCCAGTGAAGATCCCTGATCTGACGTTGGCTCATCAGCTTGCGCAGCTCTTCCAGTGTCGCACATCATCACGACGAGGAGGAGCAGCACCGCGGAAGTAAACACACGCCGGGACATGTTGGGCCTCTGCGGCTCACTCTCTCTTCCTTCCCTCCTCCTTTCGCTGGATCCGGTCACGCGGCGACGGTTGTGTGTGCGGGGTGCCTTCACTGCAGCAACACGTGAGAGCATACAAATATGTGTGTGTGGGCGGTGTGCTGTTGTTGGTCCTTTCAGTGCCTTACAATTTCACAGTAGCGATTAGTGCTTGTTTGCTTTCTTCGTAAGAGAATGAAAGAAATGAGGAAAAACAGGCTAATAAAAAGGGATGAAAGAACAGGCACCGACACCTACAGTAGGCGGCACCGTCATCCCCGCCGCAGTCACTCCCAACAACAAAAACTCACGCACACAGACACACTGAACGAGACGGAAGAACAGTGCACCGATAACACACGGTGACTGCCATCAATAGCAGTAAAAGCCACGGCGGGTGCTTCTGCCACGCGCCAGCACGCACCGAGCGACGCCCATACCCAGCAAAGCAACCGGCGGAATGCAAAAGAGCACAACGACCCTTCGCAGCACTCGCGCGCTGCCGCCAGTCCTTTTATTGCTGTCTCCTCTAGCACACCCGCTCCTCAACCGCCACAGGCGCACATCACTCCGCACAGGCGAAGAATACCCCGTCGGCAAGTTCACAGCAAGAGAGACACTTCGGCACGTGCAGCTGCTGAGAGGGAATCAATCCACACTCGCCCAAGGCAGCCTCAACAACACTCACTGATTGCACGCCGCCAATATCACACCAGCAGCACGTCGTGAAGGCATATGAAGGGCTCACGTCCTCCCTCCTCGCGAGGGCCGCCGCAGCCAAAATCTTTTGCATGTGTGCGTTCTCAGCGTTTACACCGCTCCACAACGTGAGCGAAATGGTGTATATGTGCTTGTGTGCTTGTCAGCGTATATAATTACAGAGCAGCTGTGCGCCACAAGAGAGTCAGAAGAAAGCAACGGCAGAGAGAGGCAGATAGCACACACGCACAAATTACTCATATCATCACACACACACACGCAGCCCGTGGAATGGGTGCACTCAACCACAAAACAATGAAAAACAAAACAAAAAGCCGAAGCGTGGGACGACCAGCGCACACACTCTCATTGCTCCCGTAAAGCAAAACAAACACACAGGGAGAGAGAGAGAGAGAGAGGTCGCCCACTCAATGCAATAAAAACAAAACAGAAACAGTTACGGTGCTCCGCCCATGCAGCCAGGCAGGACGGCAGCGGTGCGTGTTGTGCAAAAGAGAGCACCAACGGGCCTGCATGGGTGTGCATGAATATATACAATGGGCACATTATGTGTGCTTCGTGGGGTGGGGTGAGGGCGAGAGTCCATGCAAGGGGACACACACAGAGAGAGAGAGAAGGACGAGTGTGTGTGCGGGCGGTGCATGGCTCTCTCTCCCTCACTCTCACGCGGCCACCACCGCAGCCGCAGCCGCACACGCAACAACAAGAAGAAGAGGCAAAAGAGGGGAGGTGGTGTGGGAGACCGCGGTGCTGCTGTCGCTGTCGCCAGTCGTCGCCGTTGTATTTTTCGTGGCTGTGGCTTCGACTGGTGTTTCTTTCGGATTGGCTTCTTTATTTTCATTTCGCTTTTCCTCTCGTGTTCCCGCACCATCAGCTGCTGGATCATCGTCGTCAGGCGTTTGAGTGCCTTTGGATTTCGTATTATTCGATGCTCCCTCCGCGCCAGAAGATATAATTGTCGGCTCTTCACTGCCTGCTGACATCCCCTTTTGTGGCGTCGGTATCATCTTCTTTGATTTTCTTCTCCTCCTTCTCCTTATCTTCTTTTTCTTCTTTCGTTTCCCCTCTTCTTTATTCTTATCATCTTCATCTATTTCTTCCTCTTCATATTCATATTCCTCTTCCTCGTCATCATCTTTCTCGTCATCTTCGTGCTTGTCTTTCTCATCATTTCTTTCATTCTTGTTTTTCGTCTTTTCTTCTTCCGTGTCTGATGCTTGTTTCCCGTGTTGTTGTGCCGCTGATACGTCTGCTCCCGCTGCCGCTACACTTAAGTCTGTCACAGATTCTGCCGATAATTGTGGCTTTGCCGGCACACTGGATTTGACACCTCCTCCAGCGCCATTAGTGGTGTTTTTTCTACCGTCAGGATTATTGCCACCTTGAGACGCACCACCCGGAGGATCTTGAGGTGTTTCAGAACATCCACCACCGCCGGCACCGCACCACAGCACGCAGAGGGCACACACCAGCAGCAGGCGGCCAGTCATCATCATCGCAATCACGGCTGCTCACACAGTCTAGGGAGGGACAAAGAGAGGAGGATGAGAAGAACACACACACATCATCATCAGCAGCAGCAGCAGGATGGAAAAGAAGGAAAGGCGCTGACATGAGGGTTGTTGTCATGAGCATGGGGGACGCGTCCACGTAGGAAGAACAATCAACAATAAAGCACCGGACAGCACGCACACAACTCCATGGCATGTAAAACCCACCCGCAGCTGCCCCCAATGGACAGGAAAGAGGACGCAACAGTGCGGCAGGAACACAAAGATGCCGTTGCAGAAAAGGATCCCAAAACGGCGCAAAAAAGAAACAAAAAAATAAAGTCTTCCTCCACAGCGGCTACATCCAACAAGTTAAGTAATAATAACAGAAACAAACACCACACACGGCAACTCACAGAAGCAGTGAGTTCCTTGTCGCCAAACTTCATGGATGCACGCCACCGCACTCCTCGGGTGTCCATCGCTCCGCCGTATTCCTCCTTCCCGCGGCACTCAATCGGGTCCATCCGCACCCGTCGCCACGCCACACTCAACGACCCAAAAGACAACCGCCCAACGACTGTTGCAGAAATCGCACACCCGCGCCAAAGCACGCGACGCAACATCATGTCACGTGGACCCCGCCCTCAGAAGAACGTCATTTCAACCGTTTGGCCGGCACACGGTACAATCGATCGACGAAACAAAGAAGTAAGGCAGGCACTTAATCAAGGACTCTCCACACACACACACAAAGCCCTTTTAATGCCGCCGCTGCTGCCACGGGAACGGTACCCGAGAGGAAAATGACACGCAGTAAAAAAACCTCGCAAGAGAAAACAATCCACACGTCCATATGCAAAGCGCCACTCAGGCTGCTGCGGCTGCGGGGTCCGTGGGCAAAAATGCGCCTTACTGAATCCCGCCAGTTATGTCAGTCTCCCCTCCCACCAATGTAGCGCATAATGCACGGCGTGCATCCACAGGCATCCACTCCCGGTGCCCTAGCAACACTTCAGAACACACATAATGGAGAAGGGAAGCAGAATTACACAATGCAAAAGCAATATAAATAAAAATAAGAAAATCAAAACCACACAGATCCCTCGCACACGCACACAAACACAGCACAGTATCCCTCAGAAGAAGTCAAAAAAATGTTTATCCCTGAACCCATTAAAAACACGCATGGTGCCGACACATTAGCGACCAACACAAAAAGGGAGAGTGTACACAGCATTCCACCGGAAAAAAGTATACAGACAAGCAGAGCGTATGTATATACTGATAGGGACATGCCAGTTGATATAGGCCTTTCTCTCCTGCACCCACTGCTGAGTGTTGGCACCGCAGGACGCGACAAGCAGAAGAATCAGCGGAAAGGGACAAGCCGCAGCCGCAGTGTTACTGCCATGGATCGGAGGCGGGGTGTCCTTCATGTCTGCCTCCCAACCCCCGCGCACCACCGCCGCGTCATCCTCCCTCGGCGGAGGGTCCACGGCACCCTGCGCGTCATCAGCGGCATCAGGGCCCTTGGGTCCCGTGGCTGCAGCACCGCCACCGTCCTTGTCGCTGACGGCCTCATCTCCTAATGATTGTTCCACAACAGACGTCACACCATCGGCGGCCACATCGTCGCTGTCCGGAAGATCGCTCTCCTTCTCCGCCTCCTGCGGTGAAACCACGGTGTCGCTGGGCAAGAGCACACCGTTGCCGTCGTGGCGCCTGCGGCGACTTACTTCTCTGGCGACAGATGCTTCTGGAGAGCAGCCGTGTCTACATCCTTCGGTGGTGTGCCATGGCCGGTCCCAATGCTCTCTGGATCGGGGACGGATGCCCGTGGCAAAGCTTGTTCAGTAGATGCAGGTAGAACCGTCCTGTACCACACCCTCTCTCCTCGCCGTCCCACGGAACCACTGGAAGCAGGCTGCCGCTGGTGGCGGATATCGTGCACACCTGCGCGTGGTCACGGAAAATAACGGTCCCCTCGTCGTAGGGCGGAGTGGCCCACGTAATCATCGCTCAGACCGTGCATGGGACACAACGGACGTTACCCTTCTCAGTCACTCTCAGATGCACCTGCATGCCGAGGCACCGCAATGCCGCATGCATGGCAGCACTCAGATGTATGTGTCTCCCGGGTCCCTCGCATCCGTCGTGTTGGTGGGAAGCGTGTCCAGACACCACGAAGCGGGCTTGTCCCCAGGCATCGCAGACAAATATTCTACCCTCCAAATAACAGCGGCAGCATCCCCACATCCAGTGCGGGACCACTGACGGAGCAACTTTCCATCGGGCGTTTTGCTGACCCTTCATGGATACTCCGTCTACACACCAACCACTGGAATACCGATCCGACGTGCAGCGTCTGGCGGGAATGCTCGCTTCGCAAAAAATGCGGAAATATTCACTCATGTTCAGTGCGGAGCACTTCCACCGCAGTAGTGCACAGTTCGAATTCCTCCACCAACGCATCGGCTCCGCCATCTCCCACTTCACCCTCATGCAGCCCAGGTCAGCCGTTGCGGCCAGCGTCACCTCCGTGCAGTAGACGGCACAACCAATAGATGCCATCCACTCATCCTTCGTGTGGTGCTGCGGCCAGTGCGACTCCAGCGTCCTCCCGTCCCCATCGCCATCCTGCAGCTCCATGCCATCAATGTCGTCGCAGTCTTGGTGCTTCCTCGCAGCCATCGCGGCAGTCGTCGAGTGCACCACCACCGACAGCGCCGCAGCCACGCACAGCACCATGTCAGCATTGGCAACACCAGTAGAACAATGCCCAGCACGCACCGTGAACCGACTGCAGGCGCTGCCCGTGGCAAATGGGGGTGCAATCAAAGGACCCTCCAGTGGCTGCACGAGCATACGGTCCGCATGCGGGTGGACAGCAGCAGGGACAACTTCATTCTCGAGAATGATCCCATTCTCAGAGGATACAACGTCATCCTCACAGTGGCGATTGCCATTCGATGAATTCATTGCGTAGTACCGCTCTGAGACGCAATACTTCCTGGCATCATCCAGGTCCCTTGTGGATACGTTGAAGCGGATGGGCGCCTATCCATCCCTCCCAATGACGGTGTACATCGGCAGCGCACCCAATGCTCCAAAAAGGGCACGTCCCTCACAACTACTCAAATCAAACTCGCGCTGTCGGCACGCATAACATATTCAAAGGATCGAGGGTACGTCAAAGTGACAGCAAAGCACCGCTGGCAATCACACCACAAACACCATCACATGCAGTGGCGCTATCGCTTCAGTCTACTATGGGGTGTAGAGCAAGTAAACCATTGATGTGGGTGTTAGGCAAATATTTCGTGGCTTGCTAAAGCAACAAGAACCGATTGCGTGGGAAGAAACAAAAAACAAAAGAGAATATTCAGCCATCCGCAGTTTAGGAAGAAAACCAATCAATAAAAGTAAAATGAAAGCACCCAACCACAACATAAGCAAAACAAAAACAAAACAAAAAGCCGAAGCGTGGGACGACCAGCGCACACACTCTCATTGCTCCCGTAAAGCAAAACACACACACAGGGAGAGAGAGAGGTCGCCCATTCAATGCAATAAAAACAAAACAAAAACAGTTACGGTGCTCCGCCCATGCAGCCAGGCAGGACGGCAGCGGTGCGTGTCGTGCAAAAGAGAGCACCAACGGGCATGCATGGGTGTGCATGAATATATACAATGGTCACATTATGTGTGTGCTTCGTGGGATGAGGTGAGGGCGAGAGTCCGTGCAAGGGGACACACACAGAGAGAGAGAGAAAGACGAGTGTGTGTGCGGGCGGTGCATGGCTCTCTCTCCCTCACTCTCACGCGGCCACCACCGCAGCAGTCGCAGCCGCACACGCAACAACAAGGAGAAGCAAGAGAGGGGAGGTGGTGTGCGAGACCGCGGTGCTGCCGTCACTGTCGCCAGTCGTCGCCGTTGTATTTTTCATGGCTGTGGCTTCGACTGGTGTTTCCTTTGGATTGGCTTCTTTATTTTCATCCGGTTTTCCCTCTCCTGCCCCTGCACCATCAGCTGCTGAATCATTGCTCGGGATGTCCCCTTCAGTGCTCTTGTCAGCTTCATTATTGGCGGCACCACCGTTTGCCGTGGGTGATGGTGGCCTTGATTCTGCATTGTCGTCTTGGACGCGTTTTAGCGGTTGCACGGGTGGTAAATCCTCAGTGCTGGACGGTCCATTCATTGTTGCTGGTGGTAGCGATGGTGTTGCTGTTTGTATTTCTGCATCCTTGGCTGGACTTCCACGTGTCTCTGTTGGTGCCTCATGACTTAAGCTTTTTTTGTCTCCTGTTTTTTTTGGTTCTTCTTCCGCCTTCTCTTCAGGACTGTCAGATTTACTGCGAAGATTGTTTTCTTCTTCTGTCAGTGTCTCATCGGAGGATTCATTTCTCTCGGAAGTATTCTCCGAGTTACCATCGTTGCCACTCTTGCTGCCAGGGCTGCCAGAAGATGATGAAGAAGACGATTGATCAACCCTTTGGTGTTGGGGCTCGGTTGTTTTACCGTCCGTGTGATCCCTCTTATCTACTTCCTTTCCTCCATTTAGACCCAACCCTTCTGGCTTTCCCTGCTGTCCTTCTGTATCT